AGGTGCATCCGCTTTTGCAGGTCACAAGCAGCTGATTTTGCCCGCCTGCCCGCCCCGTTAAGTGGCACAGGGCATCATTCGACCTGATTGGTCTAGTGTGGTGTGCGCCCATTGGCGTTTCTTCCCTCCGGGGGCGTGGATTTCTCCGGCCTGGCCGGCCCGGCTGTCGCCATGTCTGCAGCCAAAACACGAACCCTTTCAAACTGAAGGTTGTCGTCGTTGTTGTTGTTGGTGATGTTTGTTTTTGAATGTTGTTGCAGCTGCTGCTGTTGGCACATTTTGGGGTGCGGCCCTTCTGCACGATAGAACCGAAGTCTACATCAACGGACACCCAAAAGTAAACTCGAGGAAGTCTTCGGGGTCAAAGGCCTGCTCTGTTCATCGACCTGTTCAATTTTGCGGGCTACCCGGGCTACCCCCTGAATCCAGGTACTTGCGGCAGTGAGTGCCATGGAGCGCCTCGGATGCGTGCGTGCTGACACCTTTTCAAGAGGAATGCAGGAATATCTCTGGGGATGCTGTTCCTCGTTCCATGCCTTCGGTAAGGGCCACCAGTTTCCGATCACACTTATTTCTATGTCAAGCAGGCCATGCTTAACAAGAACTGCACCCGCGGCATTGGCCACCACAGATTGCTAATAGGCTTGTCAACACTCTGAACTTGCAGGGCCCTCATGTGTAGAGGCCCCTGGCAAGCCTTCCAAGCCTTCGCCAGGTTCTCGGAGTCTTCGTTTCTCCTCCCTGGCCCTCGCCAGGCACCGCTCTGGCTCGAGAGCCTTATGTGGTGGATGATTCTAGCTGAATGTGCTGTCTCCGGCATCTGCAACATAGGCTTTCATCAGACATACATACGTGTACACATCAAGCTTGAAACGATGCGATGCGCCGCCAGCATCTCTACGCAAGGTACCATTGTGTGACAGGTCACCCCCCCCCCCCCCCCGAGATGCAACATGAAGATCCGTTCACACCTCAGGGAGGAAAGATGGCAAAGTGTCCTCAAAGTATCCCTTCTGTTCTCTGTGCAGCTTGAGCCTCGGGCCTCACACAGTGGGCTTCAAGGTGGGCTTCGGTGACGAAGATGTTTACTGGCCGTATAGGCAGCAAGAAAAGTGACAAGTCATCATCATCATCA